AGTTCATCCCAAGAAGAGGATGCACACTTCAAACCCAAAATGAAGGAATTTATTAGTATTTACATATTTACCCCAACAATTTTATTATTTTTTATGTGATCAATACTATAGATTGTTCAGGAAAGTGTTGTGATGACTGCTATCTAGGATCTTCCGAATAATTTTTTAGTTTTCAGTACATCATCTACATCATTATTATTATTTCTTCAATAAAACCATTCAACATGATATTTTCATTTATTTTATCATTGACTGACAGATCCTGTGAAAAGTATCTTGACATCATGAAATTTTAATGCTGTTAATATATGATATGGATATTTGGTAGAAAGTCAATGAGATTGAAAAATAAATTGATTTTATACACATTAAGGATTTGATAATAGAACGACTTCATTGACTAAAAATAACAACATGAAAAACAATACAAGTATACAAAAAAAAGGAAAATATTGAGGTGAATGGGTGGGAAGTCAACAGAGCTGTTTTTGAACTCAATCTTTGAAATGAAAAAAACAGGAATTGAATAACTTCTTCAGGAAATGTCATCAGGAAACAACTTTTTATAAGTATTTCATATGCATTGAGAGATAAATGTTCAAATTCCAGGTTTCATTTTTGAAAATGTATTTCATTTATATATGAATACTCCTCCCGTTACTGATAGGTGATGAAAGTTCAATAAATATCACAGTGAACCAGATGTCAAAATTCTTTCTTGAAAACTCATTTGTCAAAAACTACAAAAAGTGCTACGAATCAAATTGTCATGAATGTTATGCCAGAGTGAGAAGTGATTCAAAAGGGTTGAATGCGTGAATGCTGTCTTTATTTTTGAATATTAGAGATATAAGTCATGTTTTCAATGATCCGGTAATTTAGACTTCCGCTTTTTTTTTTAGAAAAGATTATCGACTGAAATGGTACACGACCGAATGAGATATATTTGCATATATGTTAGTTCAAACCTGAGTAGAGTTTTGAGAGGAACGTACCTCGTCTTATTATAATTTAAATGTTGACTGATTCATTGCTATTGAATTCACTAAGTTTGTTTCGCGACGGAATAAGTAGACTGAATAGCTTCAATTTTTTTCTTCCAATGGACGAGAATTGACCATTCCAGAGATTGTTGACGTGGTACCTTCCTACTAGTAAAACCGAAAACTAAATGGGAATATTCTAACTGAACAATGATGTTCATTGTCGTACTGACATTTTATGAAGTTTTTATGAACGAAAAATAACTTAACAAAGCTCATCGTGTTGTTGGAATTGCCATATGGCAGATAAAAAGGAATATTTTTAGAAATATCGATATTAATGTGTTTGTTTTCAGGAAATTATTGAATGTTTCGCCATTTTGTAGTAGGTGAAGATATTGACTTATATCCCCCCTTTTCATTCAATTTGTTTTCTCAAGATTGCGCCCAATCGCCATCTTGAAGGTTTCATCTTTCAATTCCACTTCAAAATAAAGTATTGATGCATTAATTCCATTATCCCAAATTTCAATTTTTTAAGTGAACCCGTTCAAAAAATAAAAGCGGGGAATACATTAAAGAAATGCACTGTATACTTTTCTACGAACAAATTGAAGAATTAATACTCACTATCATACTCGTTTTCATCTACATATTCATATTTCCCAATATCTTCGAACAGTTCGTAACATTTGAAACCAGCCTCGCTCAAATCACTTTCCCATTGTTGGCGAGGATTGGGGCTGTAGTAATATGGAGATATGAAATTTTCAGGTCCATACTGTTTCCATTCTGGATGTTTTGCTAATCTATCCAGGGTTGCATCAGAAGGAATGTGTTTGAAGAATGTCAGAAATATTGAACCATCTTTCCTGAGCATATCGAACATATTTCTGAATGCCTGCCTGAAATGGTGAAATGGGTGAAAGATACGAATTGGAACAACAGGAAGGTACCGCCTTCTCCACTCAAAATGCCAAAAAATATCATCAATTCAAAAATATTCATTTCATTAAATTTTCAATCCACCGAATGGAGGTTCAGTAGTTCTGAATTTCTGAAGTGCTCATTATGCAAAATGAAGAATTCCACCTCCTCCGCCTCCTCCGCCCTACCTTTCTTTCGAAAAAAGTTTAGTTTTTCAATTTCTCTTTTGTTCCGTTTCAAGTAGTTCCACTCAGTTCTCATTTTGCCAGCATTTTTTCCAACTTAGAAGCAGTTCTGATATGCTCCTTTTGGTATGTACTTGAGTTTTGGCAGCGACTCGGTTCTCATTCGGTTCTCTCCTCAGTTGTCGCAAAACACCGTCCTTCCACAAGTCTTTTCGATCTCAGAAACAGAAGAAGTCCAACAGGTTCCCCTGTTGGATACGCTGGCTGGGACCAAAAGCAGTAAGCAATACTTCGACATTTGATCGAACTTGGCTCTTCCATTGGAACGAATGGGCATTGGTTTACCATTTCGTAACCTTATACTCATGATCCGTCACCAGTTATGACCCTTTTGAGCAAATCTGGATCGCCGTTGACGTCATTCAACAGTTCTTTTGGTCAAAATTCAGCAATTTTGAAACGAACTTTGCTGCCACATGCTCTGAAATTTCGGAAAAATTGCATGGCATGAGCCAACCGATATGTCTATATCTTCAGCCACTTCTCTAATGCCCGTATTCGCCGTATAGCAGTAAGCGAAGCTCAAGTGCTCGCAAAACGCTTCAGTTTTGTATGCACCGTATCCACAAACGCCTTTGAGTTCTCTTAAATGTAAGCGGCCAAACTCGGTGGCTTTATATGTAAGGCCAAGCTTATGTATATGTTACGGGCAACGTGATTACCTAGGCATTATTAAAAAGGACTGACCATTATTGATATAGCCCAAGAGCGATGGGCAAAGTCATTAATTTATTACTTTGACCGGCCATTATCAATAACACCCGACGGTCCATGGTCCAAGTCAGTGTTTGAGATACCTTGAATTTATCACTTGGACCGGGCAGTATGATTAATTCTCTACTTACCACTTCGGCATCGATCGCAGTCCTTACGAAGCTATGTTTGGCACACCCAAAGTAGGTTTGCCAAACATAGCCTTTCGTCCAGAACTTTTTTGAAAAACACTCAACCGAGAGTACATTACAAATATCAGTGACTCTTTCATAGCGATAACTAACTGATATTGTTCAAACTCAAACCAAAATAATATGCAACAATCTCAGTTTTGAAGATACCGTTTATTAAAAAATTGGACATGATTTATATTTTTGTTGCACTAGCAATGAACATTTCATAATTGGTGGTGAGAATTCTTCTGCCATTTCGAACTTCCACACTATTATTTTTCCCATCCTTAGTTGAATCCAAGTATATTTTCAAAAACCTTTTTTGTTCTTGTTCGGGAATAGTAGGCAGAATTGTGCAAGTACATTGATATATATCTGTAACAGAAGCTTAGTTGAGTCAGCGATCTTTATCGTTATTTTGTGAATGTGAAGCTGTTGACAATACAGATTTTCAGATGAAGTTGGCATCAAGAAAAATGAAGAAATCTTTGAAATAATCATCAAACACTCAAATTGACAGTTGAGATCATTTTCGATAGTGAGAGTTTTTGAACGGTTTCATTAAGTATGCCCTGTTTGTTTGAGTCAAATTCATTAATTGAAGTTCGACCCCTTTTCTGTTGACAGATTGATCTGACATTTGATACACACATTTAGTTTAGATGACCATAAGATTTAATGAATTCTGTACCATCGTAAATCCACGATGGACGCAGCTACAAAATGATATATTACATATTATTTCACAACTACCTCGATATGGGTATCAGATGACAGAGCTGGATTAGTAGAATAGTAGTACACTTTGAAAAAGATGTGAATTCAAGATGGCAGCAGCTTCAAAATAGCTGATTACATTTTTTTTCGCAACTACCAATCTTCGGTGTTGATTAGATGAAACAATAATGAAATCGTTGGGTATAGTTGTTATGAGCCTTTTAAAACATCAACAAATGGAAACAAACTTTAATAACTTTTAGTATTATCCAACAGTTTTCGCACTTTCTAGTTGTACCTCTATTCTTGTCATTATATCGTCATGACAACTACCCCAGCTTACTATCTTCAATACAGGATAATGAACATACATATAATAATAGTATTTACGACCAGATGGTATGTCTCTCATATCATGGAAATACGGTAAACCTGTGGTATGGGACTTTACTTGCGTTGACGCGGTCGCGGCTTCCCATCTAGCCGAAAGTTCCAAGTCTGCTGGAACTGCAGCATTGTCTGGCGAGAAATTGAAAAGAAAAAAATACCAAAATCTTGGAAACACCCACTCTGTTTCACCCACTAGCGGTTGAAACTTTCGGTTTTTATGGACTGAATGATTCCGTACAGCCCATCTCGTCTTGTGTTTGTAAATCTTTTGCTGGAAAAATCCGCACTTGTTTACTTTGTGGTACATGTTCTAGAAGTACCGAAAATTTATGTGAAATTTATTTCTCCAGATTGCGCCCAGTCGCCATCTTGAATGTTTCATCTGTCAATTCCACTTCAAAATAAAGTATTCATGCATTAATTCCATTATCCCAAATTTCAATTTTTTGAGTGGACCCGTTCAAAAAATAAAAGAGGGGGGAGACATTAAAGAAATGCACTGTATACTTTTCTACGAACGAATTGAAGAATTAATACTCACTATCATACTCGTTTTCATCTACATATTCATATTTTCCAATATCTTCTAACAGTTCGTAACATTTGAAACCAGCTTCGCTCAAATCACTTTCCCATTGTTGGCGGGGATTGGGGCTGTAGTAATATGGAGATATGAATTTTTCAGGGCCATACTGTTTCCATTCTGGATGTTTTGCTAGTCTATCCAGGGTTGCATCAACCACCTTTCCTGAGCATATCGAACATATTCCTGAATGCCTGCCTGAAATGGTGAAATGGGTGAAGAATACGAATTGAAACAACCGGAAGGTACCGCCTTCTCCACTCAAAATGCCAAAGGATATCAACAATTCAAAAATATTCATTTCATTAAATTTTCAATCCACCGAATGGAGAGGTTCAGTAGTTCTGAATTTCTGAAGTGTTCATTATGCAAAATGGAGAATTCCACTTCCACCTCCTCCGCCCTACCTTTCTTTCGAAAAAAGTTTAGTTTTTCAATTTCTCTTTTGTTCCGTTTCAAGTAGTTCCACTCAGTTCTCATTTTGCCAGCATTTTTTCCAACTTAGAAGCAGTTCTGATATGCTCCTTTTGGTATGTACTTGAGTTTTGGCAGCGACTCGGTTCTCATTCGGTTCTCTCCTCAGTTGTCGCAAAACACCGTCCTTCCACAAGTCTTTTCGATCTCAGAAACAGAAGAAGTCCAACAGGTTCCCCTGTTGGATACGCTGGCTGGGACCAAAAGCAGTAAGCAATACTTCGACATTTGATCGAACTTGGCTCTTCCATTGGAACGAATGGGCATTGGTTTACATTTCGTAACCTTATACTCATGATCCGTCACCAGTTATGACCCTTTTGAGCAAATCTGGATCGCCGTTGACGTCATTCAACAGTTCTTTTGGTCAAAATTCAGCAATTTTGAAACGATCTTTGCTGCCACATGCTCTGAAATTTCGGAAAAATTGCATGGCATGAGCCAACCGATATGTCTATATCTTCAGCCACTTCTCTAATGCCCGTATTCGCCGTATAGCAGTAAGCGAAGCTCAAGTGCTCGCTTAACGCTTCAGTTTTGTATGCACCGTCTGCCACAAACGCCTTTAAGTTCTCTTAAATGTAAACGGCCAAATTCGGTGGCTTTATATGTAAGGCCAAGCTTATGTATATGTTACGGGCAACGTGACTAACTGTGCTTTATTAATAAGGACCGACCATTATTATTAATGCCCAAAAGCGATGGGCAAAGTCATCAATTCATCACTGTGACCGGCCATTATCAATAATACCCGACGGCCCGTGGTCCATGTAATAAGTCAGTGTTTGAGATACCTTGAATTTATCACTTGGACCGAGCAGTATGATTAATTCTCTACTTACCACTCCGGCATCGATCGCAGTCCTTACGAAGCTATGTTTGGCAAACCCAAAGTAGGTTTAAAATCAATATTGCCATCGTATTGCCATTGAATGTTCGCATTGCCGAGCACAAGAAACACACACAGCGAAGGGAAACCAGCAAATCAGGAATAGCAGACCATGTTTGGACCCATCAACACAATATCGAGTGGTCCCAAGCTGAGATCTTGCACAGAGAGGAACATTGGTTTAGGAGAAAATTCAAGGAAGTCGCATACATGTTGTCCAATAACGTATGGAAACCCATCATCAAGCAAAAAATGGCCAACTTCCGCAAAACGGTCATCTCCCACGGAACCAGTGAAGCGGAAAATGGAAAGCGGGGATAAGTGAAAGTACTCGAACGACCTATAAATAGTCATCTCTCGGAGAAATCAGTCCAGTCATCACCCGAAGACGATTGTAGATACTAACAATCGAAACGTCGTGAACTAACGGGACTTGGAATCTCTTCACTCTTTATTTTCATTTTCTTTTTTCATTTCTTTATTTTTATTTATTCAATTGTTCTATTTTTACTTGCATTTTATTTCACTATTATTTCATTTCAGGTTTATTCTGGTTAATATAATTGTTATATTCAGCTATTCATTTTCAATTTTCCTTTTTTAGTTGTTTCAGGGATTTCAAATCATTTCATATAGTAGACAATGGAAGTCCGAACTAGTGAAATTCAGTATCGCCATCTTTTGACGGGTTAACGGAGATAGTAAGTGAAGATGACCTTGAGGCAATGTTGAAATTGTGGACAGAGCGGATGATGCCGTAAACGAAGACAGCGATAACATAGATGAAAACTCAGCCGCTGTTATTGGTTCTATTTCTGTTACGACTGAACCTGAACTCCGTTCCAAACTGAAACAACAATCTGATGATATTCAACCAGAAAATCAGCAACCTTATGTGGACATAATGAATGAAAACCGTCGACTAGACGATCAATAGCCTTCTGAACTGGAACAACATTCTGCCGATAGTACCTCAGAAAAGCAGCAACATACTGTGGGCATAATAAATGAAAACCCTCGACCAGACGATCAACAGCCTTCTGAACTGGAACAACATTCTGACGATAGTTTACCAGAAAATCAGCAACCCACTGTGAGTGTGGAAACAGGACCGTCGCCATGGGGGGGAAGCCTCCACCCCTGCTTATTCGACTTGGGAAAAAGTTGGGAAAAGTTGGAAAATTTAGGGCCATGAAGATAGAAAAAAATAATAGTAAAAAAATTAATAAAAATTTAAAAAATAAAATGAGAGAAAAGAAAATGAGAGTTAGGGGAGACCGGGGCAAGATGAAGTTCG